AAAAAAAAAAAACCATTAATGGAGTGAGATTGTCAGTCATATTAAAAATAAGATTGGTTTTAATTCTACATATGATATAAAGGACTCGGCATAAAACTAGTAGATTGGTATCAATGATTTTTTTGACAAAAAATTAAAAAATAACACAATCTACCAATACGAATAAAAAAACAGATTGAATAACGTCAAATCGTCCAAAACACAATATAAATCGATTTGATTAACAATCATAATATGAAGCTAGACGTCGTGCACATGCGCGGTTGCTCATATAAAGAGGGAAATAGATAGTCGAATGAAGTTAAAAAGATAATGACTAATAAAAAATATTATAGACATTTTACAACTAGACACTGAAACTTCTCATTTCTCTTTAATAATTGTACAGATAGACACACAAACAAANAAAAAAAAAAAAACCATTAATGGAGTGAGATTGTCAGTCATATTAAAAATAAGATTGGTTTTAATTCTACATATGATATAAAGGACTCGGCATAAAACTAGTAGATTGGTATCAACGATTTTTATGACAGAAAATTAAAAAATAACACAATCTACCAATACGAATAAAAAAACAGATTGAATAACGTCAAATCTCCACAACACAATATAAATCGATTTGATTAACAATCATAATATGAAGCTAGACGTCGTGCACATGCGCGATTGCTCATATAAAGAGGGAAATAGATAGTCGAACGAAGTTAAAAAGATAATGACTAATAAAAAATATTATAGACATTTTACGACTAGACACTGAAACTTCTCATTTCTCTTTAATAATTGTACAGATAGACACACAAACAAACCTATATTATAGAGAGAGAGAGAGAGAGATCATCCCCTAACATTCCATCACCCTGCCCTCTGCATGCAGTCTCCTTATTAAACTCGAATACTTTTTCTAATTAATTCTAACTATTTCACTTGGATCTTATGGCAATTGTACTATTACAGCCAATTATGGTAAAGGAAATGTTTAGGGTATCCAAAAGAAAATTCAATACGGTGCCGTTGTTATAAATTTTATGATTTTTTTAAAATAATTTTTTAGGATTATTTTTTATAATTTTTTTTTAAATTTAGGATCGATCATAAGTTATTACTCATTTTTTTTATAAACAAACCCAAAAATTTATATTAAAATTCACAAAAACCCCTAAAACTTGAAGGTACGATACTGAAATTATTTGATCTTTCCCCATCCCCAAATAGCAGACGCTAAAGGATAAGGACAAAAATCAAATCAATATAGATTGACAAAATTGTCGAACGACAAATTTGGTACGTTCTGAGTTGGAAATTTTTTTGTACATAAAAATTTTAAGTTATTACATATATGCTAAAAAAATTTACTTATAAAATGACAAAATTGAAATTGGACTCGCGTAACCTTTATTAGTTAGCTCAAATGATAACGGAGACACGTTATAAATTTAAATGTTCTGAATTCGAATTTTGACAATCTAGTGGGACCAGGTTATGATGAATACCATAATTCTTGTATGAATGAAGATGTCTTTAACCAAATCGAGAAAATGATTAATTGAGATATGCACAAATTGACCAAAACACACTATCAATTAAAAAAAAAATGAGTAATGTTATGTTTACTAAAATTTTTATCAAAAATATTTTTACTAAATGAGTTAACAGGTCCATATCCAATCAAAAACATTTTGATCAATATTTGGTAGGTGTGATATAAATCCGTCAATTCATTTAATAAAAATATTTTTTAATAAAATTTTTGTTAAGCATAACATTAATCTAAAAAAAAATACAGTGAAAATATCGTGAGATTAGGTTGACAAAGTCAAGCTTGGAATGTATGGCTTGTCTTGGCAAGGAGACATATCTGGAAGACAGAGATGCTAATGGTCAAATCACAGACTGAGTGGGTCCCACCTACCCCACAATTCTCTCTCTCTCTCGAAAATTTTCATTTTCAATTCCCACTCCCGCAGGACAAGAGATTCCAATTTGGTAAAGCATGAAAGAAACCCAACACACGCGTTAAAGAGAAAGTCTGCTGTTCAGAACAGTGATAAATGCAGAAGAAGATTACTATCAGGCTATTAGCCGAGAGAGAGCAAATTTAGTGCTGGCAGTGGGTCGTGTAACCTCCATTTTTAAAGTTTGTTTAATTTATACCCAGTACATTTATAGAAAATATTTATAATCGGATTTGTAATGTATATAATCATATTTATTTCGATTATAGTGAAATTTATATGGTATATTTGTGTTGACCCGTGTGATAAACTGTTGTACATGATTAACTTATCATAAATCAAGTTCATTTAGACTAAATCTCTATTAAGTGATTTCTTCTCAATTCTGTGTTAATTTGACAGGTCATGCTAACCTTATCTAAACTGGCTCTAATTACCACAACACCATACACATGGTATCAGTTATAATCGATTGAGATTTCCTCCGATACTCTTTTCCTTTCTATTTTCTACTTGCAGGATCACTCTCCATGCATTAGTGAAGGATTCAATTACACAATAAGTCTCATTAAAATTTAGTGTAAGTAGTCTCCTAAAAAAGGTAATAAAGTTAAAGCAAGTGCATTAGAGAAAATTTTATTCATTTGCGCTAAATACTCATTTGAACTCAAATGTTGGTTATCATAATTTGAACGGGTTTAAAACATTTACCTTGAGAAATAAAGGTAAGTTGATCATTAGAGGATATGAAAGGTGTTGAACTTGAGACATCTGAATTACCGAAGATCGAATCCAACTACTAAATTACTTCTAAGCGTTGTTTGGAGTTTAGGTTTAACAAATTCAGATGATATTTGGATTGATCATTCAGAACTATTTAAAACGATATGAATTTAATACGATATAAAATAGATTGTACATAAATATGAGCCATTGTCATCCTAATAAGAACATTCCGAATTTAAAATATTTGTTGGGGAATATTTCATCCCGATTGCCAATGCAACAACTTGCATTTTAAAATGGATTATTTCGTATGGAATTTCCTACCATCATATCTCTTGTGGGGTCTTTAGAATGTTGTGAACAATTTCTATGTTCTTAAATGGGATGACCAAACCAAAGTCTATATATGCATACCCAAGTGGGTGTGTGTGTGAGAGAGAGAGAGAGTGCGTAGGTCAAGTGGGTTGATTAGAAATTATAATTTTGTAAGATACTTATTTGAGAATTTGATATCATATCATAACGATTCAACTGTATCACATTTGCAAACTTCGAAGCCAAACCTCACATGATTTTTGGGACCAACGAGGCGCTTTAATCGCACAATTTTGGGTGATATACTTGAACAGAAAATGGTTATAATTCGACCCAAAATCAAAGAATTCAGATTAATAATTGACCACTCTCATTTATAATCTCCCCTTCATCCCACTTAAGACCAACAAGTATTTTGTAATAAGGTTTGATTTAGAGAGTCATGATTTCCCTAGTGGCATACATGTTTTCTAAAATATAGAATTGTACCTCCTCCACCTTATAGGAATTTGGCCCACCCACTCACTTTTTTCCATATAATCATTTTTTTTGGGGGGGAGGGGGGAGATAATGACATTGGTACCAAACCCTAGAAATTTGTTGCAATTTCATCCAATCTTTGAACATGACATGCTTGGTTGGATCGCATATTCCTGTCCTACACCATATAATTGCAATCGATTCATCGTTCTCTTTTTTTCTCCTTTTCTTTTGTCTCAAAATTCTTCCTCTCTCACACACACACAGAGAAAGAGACTCTGAACCACAACCCTAGACCATGAACCCGACCCCAGGCCTGGCCCCCAACCTAGACCCTGAACCTTGACATACGACCTGACCCTGGGTGGAAGAGGGGGGGTAGCGATGAGTGATGGTTGTTACTTTTTAGGTATTGAAAACATTACCAAATATTAAAGAATGGCAAATCCTACACTAGTGGAAAACTCTGTTAACAGGCTTGAGCAAATGTTCTTATCATGCCAACCAGTATAAATCACTGGTTCTTCAATCCTCTTACAAAACGAAAACTTANAAGAATGGCAAATCCTACACTAGTGGAAAACTCTGTTAACAGGCTTGAGCAAATGTCCTTATCATGCCAACCAGTATAAATCACTGGTTCTTCAATCCTCTTACAAAACGAAAACAAAACATGCCAAACACTCAAAAATAGATCATGTTCATTTTGTCAGCCACAACAATATGATGTACCAAATTGGCTGGAGCAATGTTCATCATACAAGAATCATGCCAAGGTTTGTATTGATCGAGTGGTAGCATTGCAGTCAGGCCATGTAAAAAAATGCCAGGATAATCTGCCATGAGCCACCAAAGCATATGCTAATAGCAAGGGCAAACTACAATTAGCAGCATTAGGCGATCACAGGATGCACTATTTTTAGTCTTGCCTGATTCCCAGCATTTTCACAGCTAGCTCCCATGTGACAATTGCAGCAGCATTAGCAGGAAAGGCCCTCACTACCGTAGGACCTAAACCCATATAGCATCCACTAAGTCCAGACCCCCTGTAAATCTAGCATAAAGAACCCAATTAGCCTAACATGCCTTTTTAAAAATTTTGTTCCAAAGTCTGCCAGTATATAACATAAAAACAGCTTACTGATTTCAGAATCTGAAAGGGATTTCTGGTAGAACTTCTATCCGAGGAAGTCTGAATTATGGTTTTTGCCACATCCAAGGGCAGAACAGCAGACCAGAACTAGAAACAATACAGTGGAGAAAAGGAGGGATTTAATAACAGACCACAGAGAAAATGAAAAACAAAACAGAAATAAAAATATGCACAAACACATCCTCGTGCATGCAAACAAACATATAAAAGTTGTAGTTAGAAAGAGATAAAGTGGAAACGGGTAAATTAAAACAGGTGAAATGTGGTGAGTTGTACTCACTGCTATACCACCAAGGCCACCACTCATGATCCCAACTCCCACATCAATCAAGTGAGCAGGATCTGATGAAGCATCATTCAGATGTAAATGCATGTGAAAGCGTACATACTCATAAGTGCTAAAAAAGACTGCATTTCCAAGAGATTCCCTCAACAATGTTGTGAAACCTCCTCGAAAGATGCCTGTAACCTGAAAAAGTAGTCTATCAGTTTGAGACTTATCAGGTACCTTACTGACAATGAGCACAAATTCTCACCCCTTCACTCTTTACAGTTTTTAGCGCACAATCAATAGGACTACTGTATCTGTTGGAGTTCACAACCAAAGTGTCAGTGCCTTGAACTTGCATCCTACACTGGAAAAACTCAGGGTCACAAGCATGATATGTTAAACAACAAAGGCAGTGCATGACTAGAAACTCTCTGATTGAGCAGTACCTTCACCAGCTCTGATGGACATAATACAAAGCTGATAATAGCTCCACCAAAGGCAGCTGAAGGAATTATCACTTGGGGCTGTGGCTTACCACTTTGATTTTGTCCCTTAAAGAGAAAAAGAATATGTTTATCATGAAGTGCACACCGCATGCATGAAACATTTGTTGAAACAAATGTGCAGAAGCAAAAGCAGCTCATTTGCAACTGCTTCTTGCCTCTGTTGAAGGCAGTTCTTGCAGATCGATCTACAGTTAAATCACGAAGCAGTTTTCACTAGTAGACAAACCTGCAGTGATTGTTTTGCCTGAGAATAGATGCCAAAAAGAAGTGAACTTTCAAAGGCCATCCCTACAAAAGAAGATGTAGCCCCTCGATAAAGCCCTTTCACCTGAAAAGAGGGATGAAAAAGAAATTAAAAAATGAACGGTAAAGTCCCCCCCAAGAAGGAAAAAAAGCAGAAAACAAATGAAGGGCCAAAGACAAACAACATTTTCAATAGAGAAACCATATTGCACTAATTATATCATTGAGAACTTGAGTTTCATGCATTCTTACAGGCATAAATGGCTTTCATAGCTTAGTGAATCCTTAAGAGCTATGACCCAAATCTTTGCTTTCAGGGTCTTCATATCTCCCCAATTGAAATATAGATTGTACAGCATAGTTACAACCAACTTATGGTTATTGTTACCCTCTTTCTTTACAAAAACCTGGATCCATGCCCCTTTTCTTGACAACAAACTGCAGAAATTTCCTTTTTTCTTTTCTTGGTGATTTCAGATGGGACATGTATAGCAGGAAATAAGTCCAAAGATGCTATTCTTCTAGCAAAAGGATCTCAAAGTAACTTCCTTCGCATTTTTTACCATATAAGGGGAGTTTTTAGCAGACTTTTAAAATTTCTTGGTGAAGAATAGAACTCAAATCCATAATAGTGGCCTGAACTCCGAAGTTTCCAAAAGAAACAATTCATGGTTTTCAGAGAGAGATGAATTGAGAAGCAAGAGAAACAACGTTGGATGCCCCTGGTTAAAAACATGAGGCTGGTTTCCCCAAGAAAAAATCATCAGTAGGCTCAAGTAAATTCTATGATTGGTATCCAATGTATAACAATGAAGTATTAACTAAGCTTACCTTCATTCATGGCATCAAACATATAACGATGAAGTAATAACTAAGCTTACCTTCATTCATATTCGAACCTTAGAAATATCTGTTAAGACTTCAAAGTCATACACGATAGGCGAACAACTATAGGAGAGAGATTGACAATAACTGATAGCAAAAGTATAGAGCATTTTCTACCTATATTTGGGGTTGGTTGTCTGCCATAGTTATAAGCAGTAGTGTAGGCATGACATCGAAAGAGATGGGAGGGAGTAGGGGTCTAATACTTACTATTGGCGAATACATTCATGATGTGTATGCATATGTCTGTATACAAAGACAGACACGGGGAGAGAGAGAGATTATCTTGGGCTGATTTGCTACAGCCATGTAAAAGTTCTCGTTCCTAGGTTATTTGATTCAATGTAACAAAATATCAAATATGTAAGGCTGTCAAGAAATAAACTGTTCGTCCATATGGAGAAAGATTGGCCTACCATGTTCCCTGTGTTTTCAAGAATATATATGGCTATTGCAAATGAGAAGACAAAGAATTTTCAGCGGCAGAGATACTATTCATATGCATCAAGGAGAATAATTTGAGTTCATTAGTTTGTTTTGTTTGCTGTGATTCTACATATGCATGCATTCTAAAACGTTAATGGCTTAAAGTTGGGCCTCACAAGAAGTTCAAGAAGCATACTCCTTCAGTCTTCAGTATCCTAGCAGTACAATGCAAACCACCCCTGTACTTTATCCCATTAGCTTCTGTATTGTGTTTTTGAAGTTTCACCTGATGAATGAGGATACCAATATGTAAGAACCCCAAAGAATACAGACACCAAATAATCTGACTAGTTTTAGCAATTTTTCTGACTATAGAAAGGAAAACTATTGAATTTTTAAAGGTCCAAAATTCATTTCCCAATATCAGAATGCACAGCAGATAAACCTTTTAAAAAGAAAAGAGTAAAATATATTTTAAAGAACAAGCACAATAATAACTGAATAAAATCATAGCCTGGTTGGCTGATCCACAATACAGTTTGAATCAAACATGTGTTAATGATCAAAATTAACATCAAAATACCACCACATTGCAAGTGATCATCAGAAGACATGCTAGTATATGAAAAATTCAGGTGTCAAGTTTGATAACTTCTAGTCACTAAAATAAGATGCGTAACAGAAACTCCACGTTCTTATGAAACATGAGAGCCATTAGTCCAGAAGGTCTTATCAAAAACAAATGCCAGCTGTATTATATATATTAAACTGTTCGACTGTCTACAAGTTGTTGCATAAGAGCCATTACCTTGGCTAGGAATAGCAAATGTAGAAACATCTCCCCAGTTCCAAACACCATTCACAATTCTTCTATGTTATTTTCTTGAAAGTAGTTCTAACCCTTTTTGATGGGTAATTCTGCACCGATTTGATCATTTCCCTCCCCCCTCCCCAAAAAAAAACCAAATTAATCATCATTTAGGCTCAACCCTCAGCTTCAATCAAATAATATAATGATTCTAGCACTTATCCATGGTGAATGTGCCAATGGTAAATGCGATGGTAAGGGTGACAATGGAAATGGGCTCCAAAGCAGGAAATCCTATGCTTTTGGAAGTGCTGGTAATCAATGAAGAAGGAGCCAAGGTTAAGAACATGCACCATGCACACTTCTATTTTTTAGGATGTCACACCTTCCTGTTTTACACTGCAGAAAAAAATCTAAAATCATTTTGAATTACATTATAAGGGATCAAAGTTCGTTTCTCTTTCGTGTTGCTAGGAATGACAATCATCAGTGAGTCGTTAGTATCAAGCAAAAGTACAATTTAACAACAATACAAATATACTATTAAAGACCATTGCTTGGTTAAATGGTAAAAGCTTGGGCCAACAAGTACAGAAAACACAGTTACAAAGTTGCAGGGCAGACAATTCGCAAAAATAAATGTCTGAAGTAGTTCCATACAAAAGTAACTTCAAGGTATTGTCTTTTTACAAATTCACTATTTACATTATGCCATTTGATTTGATTAATTTGTAAGACAATTTATATCCTAGTTGCCCAAGTTCCTACAAACTTTCAGTTTAGCTTCCTGACACTTTGTCGTGATGCCTTCCCAGATCTTTCCAAGTCACTTCCAACTTCCCAGGTTGAACTCTCGCAATTTACTTAAGCTTCGACCCTATGCTTCTCTCACTACTTGTCCATATACCCAACAATTTCTTTTTGGCTTGCACACCAACCAAGCTGATTTTCCCAGATATATAACAATTTTTGGCAATTACAACATGGTCAAGATCACCCAATTTTGAATCGGCAAAAAGATTACTCCAAGTCCCACCATTTACTCTATCACATGGAAAAACTAACTTGAATCTAATTTTTCAAACCCAGGTCAGATGTACTCTATTAGGCAAATAGGCAAATGGGAAATGTGCGTATGTGAAAGGAAAATCAAAGGCAAGAAACGGATGAGAAAAAGGGCAGACCTTGACAGTATCGAATGGATGACCAGTTATGACAGTGGCAACACCGGCAAGCAAGCCTGCCACATAGTCCTTGTAACCCGAACTGTCACCACCCATCTCTCTCTTTCTCCCTGTACAATTCTATGTTGCTCTCTAAACTTCTCTCCTGTACTTCTCGGTGATAACCATAGTGTCTTTATCAATCCCCACTTCAATCCCAAGTTTGGTATTGATGGGCATTAGTACAGTCCAAGATTTGGGGATGATAACAAGAACATATCCTCGATAGTGCCCTTTGAAACGGGGGTGACGATGCAGAGACTAGTGCGCCATAAAAACGCCGAAACGAATCACTATTTTATTGACAGAAAGCTTGATCATAACGAAGTGGGTCTCAAAGATAGAAGAGAAAACAATGAAAGCCCCCGCTACCCTTCCGCTCCTCAAAATATTCTTTTCATCTTCTACATGTTGACGGTGTCGAAATGTCTGATCTCTCCCCCTGCCCCTCCCAGCTATCAATTTAGATTATGTTAGTCAGGGTAAAATATTTTATTTATATTTAATTTATTTATTAATTCATGTTTAAAAATTACCAATAATCGATTTTAATTAATCCTAGATAAGTTAGATGTAAAATAAATTTAATTTATTTTTAAACCGTTTAATAAACAGGTACGTTGAATCTCATTAATCTATAAAATAATTAAAATTTTTAATATGGATACATATTAATATATTAAAAATATACATACTAATACATCAAAAATATACACACATATATTAACATACACAAACACATTTATTTTATTACATGTGTCATGGACCGTGGGTCATGAGTCGTTGTGATTTGTGGGTCAGACATGGATCATGGGTCGAGTGTATTAATGAATGTGCAATTTTGATGTATTAGTGTTTGTGTGTTTTGATGCATTAGTGTATGCGTGTGTATTATTTGGTATATGAGTATGTGTGTACTTTTTTGTGTATAAATATGTATATTTTTTGGTATATTAATATATTTATTTGATTTTATTAATTATATTATTTAATAGAAAAATAAATACTCAACTTAATGGATACCTATTTATAATTCATCTTAACATGTTTTATTAAAATGAATCATATTATCTAACCTATTTTTTTTATGAGCAGACTGAATGAATTAATGGGCAATAAGTTAAGATTGTCACCTCTATTCATGTCTAACGATTGTATTATATTAAATTTGTGTCGTACATAAATCGTATATAACCAATATATAAACAAATAGTGCCATACATTTTTTTTGAATAACTTTACACATACTCAGTTCGTTTATTAATTATCCCGTATGAGGTCCACACATTTACCAAACAGATGACTTAAGGAAAACTCAAACCCTCTAATTTTGTGTCGTATTTAACAAATCGTGTTATATTTTAACATTTCTGCTTTAGATGTAATTGTCATGTATAATCCCTTCAAATTGTGTTGTGTATAAATGACACTGGGTTTTGAAGAAGAAAAAGGTTCCAATGAATGCGAGAGGAAAAGATCACATTATGACCATGCCAGCTAAAAATCACTAACATCTCGTGAATTAAATTTGAACTAATATCAAGTTACTTGCCCTTTTAGTTGATCTTGACTGACTCTATTGTCCTCCTCATGAAAGCTAGTGTTTTGCTGTCTTGTGTCAGTTTAATTTGGTTTGTGTCTGAGTGTCGACTCATGTATTTATCGAAATTAGTCAATCAATTAATTTATCATTCAAATTCATTAAAATTAAATTTAAATTCACCAATTTCTTGTTAATTGTGTTAGAGATTTGAGGGTTGTGTCCATAATGTGTGAGATGTCCATAATGCGTGAGATGTTCATAATGCATGAGATTTGGGGTAGAATTGTGAGGAGAGATATTTAAAATATCGTGCATTACACATGTGCCGCTAATAACTATTATTTAATTAATTATAACTTATAATTTGTTATTCAAAAAATACGAGAAAAATACTGCAAAAATGCATAAAGAAGGAGAGCTAATTATAGACCCCTTAAATTATAGGGGAATGATAGTCGTCTATCTATTTTGTAATTTTTGATTAATTAATTTGGCACAAAACAACCAATCTATTAAACAAAAATAAGGCGGCGGACCACGTTATAATATTTTTTATTTTTTGAGAGATAATATGAAAAAAATTAATATTTTGGGGCAAACTGAAAATTTTTATATTTTTCACTGGCAAAATAGAATTTACCCTAAATTATAGTATCCCCTATTTTACATTAGACTCTATATTATCAAATTTCTCATTTTATACACTGAAGTATTGATTTCACTTTCATATTGTGCCGATGGTTGACTTTTATACAAAATTTCATTATAAATTAGAACAAAAATAAAATTCCTCTCAACCGAGTACGGAGTGATCATATCTCCTAAATGGTGAGATCCAATTTTGTTCCATTGTGAAAATTTGTTAGAGAATAATCATGGGGGCGATGTGAAACTTAAATTAATAGTTTAAGGTACAATGTCAGAAAACAGATAGTTTTTAGATATTAAATTGAAATATTTACCTAGTTAAGGGGTCGTAAGTGTAATTGTCCCCATTCTTTATTCCGTCAAGGCCCCGAGCCACATCAAAGCCACCCTCTGCCCTTCTCGCCAGACTCAACCACCTGCACCTCCACCTCCCTTTCTCTCTCCATTCCGCCACCGCTACCGGAAACAGAGTCAATGCCTGCGCAGAGGCGTTCGTTCGAGCCTCCTACTCCTCCTCCCCCACCCGTTCCGACTCCGGAGGAGAAGGTTGATTCGCAGCAACGCAATCAAAACCACAATGAACAAGCCGAGGATGGAGACGGTTCGTATACATCGTGCTCCATTGCTTCGATCACACACACACACACACACTTTCCAATGATACTGCAACTTCCACAGTTTTGTTCAACCTTTCATATGAGGTTTGATTTAATCTTTTAATCTTCCATAACTCTCAGATTCAGATGGAAGCCATGTGTCTAGTGGCGGAGACAAAGATGAGTACGTTGTCTATCTTTCTCCAAACACATACGCACGCGCGCCCGCGCGCACACACACACATATTCTTCTGTGGCAATTTATTATGGTGATTGTTGATTTAAGTACTGTTTGAGGTGTGAATGAACCAGTTTCTTCTGGGATCTGCATGCTTTGTTTGGGTATACGATTGCTTTTTTCGTATTTATTAGAAGCAATGTTGAAGAGAGCTCTTTACGTGTTGACGGAGTATCTGTGTGTTTACAGGAATTTTCTGTTTCGTTCTCTGTATATGGCAAAATTCAATAAAAAGGTTTAATTTTCATGATTGCTTTGGCATTCACATTAATTTTTCATTGAATATTGATCTCTGTATTCTTGGTTGGATTTGGACATGTGGCTTAAGTTCACAAGGAGTGCTTAGGAATTCTTACTTGCAGCACTGCTAGGTAACTAGGTTCATGGGTTTTGTTTTAGTTTCCAGTTAATCACTTCTTTCCACTGTTAGGTTTTGTTTTAGATTTCTATATGCCACGCAACCTTCCCAGATTTTGGTGCTAAGTTGGGTCGACCTGAATGCCTACTGCAGTGGACTAGAGATGTAGAATTGTAGTAACTAATGCAAACTGAATTCATTCACTAAAAAGGGCTTGCTGAACTATATTCATTCATAACTTGCTACTTATGTTCTAGAATGTATTGTTGTAATGATACTTTCGAGTTGTTCAGTTACAAGTGTCTCTGATGAATTTATGCCGTGGTGCTAGAGTTTAACTCGCACAGAGGCTAACTTCGAGGAAGCGGTTAGTGGTTTCTTAAATCAACAATTTTTGTCAATTGGAAATAATAATTTTGGTAATAAAGTGTTCTTAAAATAACTATTATTATGACCCACTGTCATACATATGCCATTTATGCATTGTGTTCATGATTGCAGATAATATCTTCATTTGTATGTGTGTTTTTTACCATTTTAAAAACACGATGCAGGATGCTAGTGATTTCAGATGCATGTAATACAAATCTTCCAAGGTGTGTGAGTGCACACTTTTGCATCCGTATTCAGCATAATTTCACCATCTGGTTGACTACATGATCTGGATGAATGTATCCATCTCCAATTTCAGTTGTCTATTTTTTATTGTTGTGATAAGCTTTCACCAGCTTCTACTATTAATTGAAGCAATTGCATTTCTTTAATTTACACGTCAGGAGAAATCAACAACTCTGTGAAAGATGTGTCATTATATGGTTTTCTTTTTGTATTTATCTAAGTGCTTAAAAAGTTTGCATAGTTGTCCTCATTTGAAGTATGATGTATCATCTGGTACTATCCAGACATAGTGTTTTGTGAAACACGAATGTGAGGGGCAAGTTAATTTACCAAATTTGAAAATGCTTTGAACACTAAGGAGTCGAGTTCTTTTCAACTTAAAATTTAAATTATATGGTTTGGCCACTTTCTGTATATGCAGATTTTATATGAATGTCATTGCATGAAACTGAATATAACCAACAAACTAAGTTTCCTAAATCCAAAAGTCATTATGGTTGGTGATGTTCTTCATAAAGTGATGGATATCTTAAGAGACTTTTGGACGTTAGTTGTCCTTAATGTGCTAAANACCAACAAACTAAGTTTCCTAAATCCAAAAGTCATTATGGTTGGTGATGTTCTTCAGAAAGTGATGGATATCTTAAGAGACTTTTGGACGTTAGTTGTCCTTAATGTGCTAGAAGTTTATATATGGTATACTGGGTGTCTGGGTTAAATGAGATTTCTTTGCTTAGAGTCTTTGTCCAAGGCAAGCTTTGGGATTCACTGAAACTGGGTTTAATTTTTTTTTTTCCTTTTTTCACTGGAAGTATCTTTCTTTTTCCTTTTTATACACAAAAATCCCTATAGTCGGTCAGTAAATGTATTCCAAATCAGAATATCCCTTCATTGTGTTTTTCTGACAAAGGGTTCAGGGCTCCTAATGGTCTTTGGTGGGGCTTCTGTGTTCAGTTCTTAACGATTGTGCTGAAGTTATATTATAATCCAAATATTATACCATGGCAGTAAATACATCTGTTAGAATTGGTGGGATATGATATTGAGGTAGTGGTTATTTCTTTCCTTTGTCATGGATTTTCTTTCTTTTTTGGGGGAGGACGGTGGGGGTCTGGTACAGGGAGTGTATGCCTGTCTGTAAGACTTACTGAGTCACTTTAAGGTTTGCTTCTCCTCCTGCATTATGGAGCATGAGCATATCTTTTCATCAGATGGCCCATCTTTTTTTCCTTATGTAGGTGTCACTCTCTCCCTCCCTCTCCCTCTCCCCTTATATAAAATTGAAGCTTCTCAATTGTCAACCTATCTTCCATTTGAAGTTTGCCTGGAGAGCTAATTTTGTTTGCAGTGGTGTTTGTCAACAGATTTATTCTTGTGAAATTGGCAGAAATACGCAAGGAAGTACAATGCCCAATCTGTCTAGGTACTTTTTTGGGATTTTATTTCTTCAAGCTATGATTTTTGGATCCAAATTGACACTTCATAGCAAGTGACTCTGATTTTTGCCACTCATTGTATGTTTTATGAGCTGTAATTCATGATAGGGACACCAATTGATGTTCTATTACTTGTAAGCTTATTGTTTAGCTCAAATAATGCTCCAGTTTGGCGTATCTTTCCATATGTGAGACATGTTCCTGAGTTACAAGTTGTTCTCGATCATTTTTTGGCTATGGAGTCTTTAACAAAACAATTGCAGAAAAAGTGATCATTTTAAACTCAATTTCTGAAAATAGTCTTTGAGAAACTATCTGAAAACTCCATACAATGAATCAGATTTTCAACCTTATTCTGTAGTTTCTGATATTCCAACAAAGGAAAACCCTTTTTAATAACTTCGATTTGGAAAACCCTTATTCTCTATTTTGTTACAACCCNTCTGAAAACTCCATACAATGAATCAGATTTTCAACCTTATTCTGTAGTTTCTGATACTCCAACAAAGGAAAACCCTTTTTAATAACTTCGATTTGGAAAACCCTTATTCTCTATTTTGTTACAACCCCTTTCAAGCCTGGACATGTATATGTTGCATTTGGTTTTTTGTCCTGAAGACCTGCGGGTCTACCCGAGTGGCTAACTACCCATCATGGTTTCTAATGCCCTCCCTGGCACCCTTCCCGTACCATTGCATATCAAAAAAAGTTTTTTCTGAGATATGTGGAAGCAGTTTGCGAATAGCTCTGATGGCACCTCCTGATATGGAGATCTCAGTGTCATTGTTCTCCCCCACTTCTCTCTCTCTCTGGGGTTCATCTGAAACTTCTTTGATAATGACAGGCTTCAAGTTTCATATACATCAGCACATATTATAAGAGTTGTATAATATACACCTCATTCTAGCTAATGAATCTTATTCCCAGGCCATAGTTCATCAGACAACGTATTAACTAAATTGGTTGATGACTGAAAGAACAACATTTCCCGCCCATGTTATCCCCTTTCAAATTAACTCAATAACAGTCCTAAGCCTTTTAGATTTCCTTATTATCTTTTGAGATCTTTACTAGCAAGCTGTGCATTTTCTCCTGGTGTTTCTAATGAAATTTGCTTATTCTTATTATGTATCATCCTAAGCTAGCTAATATATCATTACTGACCTAAAATTTTCAAATTTAATTGACATGTTTTTATTAAGTTGTGTCTTTCATACAGCTTCCTCTTCATGTTCATGTAGAACAAGCTGGCGCAATTTAGCACCCTTTTTTAGTAGTAGTTTGCTTATGTTGTATTTGGTATCATAAAGTTATATTTCTTTGCTCTTATCTTCAAATTATGATCAAGATGGTGGATCCACTAAATGGTCTTTACCCTATTTGCATTGCATGTGCATAAACAGAATGTGCTCGTGTACATTTAGGTTGTAGTCACACCCAAACACACACTACTTGTTTCTCACAGCTTCTCCATAACATTCCAACCATAACAATAACTACGTGGGAGAGGGAAAATGCAGGTAGAAATCTCCTTGCTTTGTAAGTTCAGGTGTTTGTGTTGGGTTAAAGTTGAGTACATGTCATTTATCGTTTAGAGATATTGGAAAGTGAAAAAGAAGAAAAAGACTTGGTTAAAACACCACATATATGCTTATTAGGTTCTTGACTATAAATAAGGATGAGGCCTATGCTATCTAGAAGTAACATCATTTACGACTTTGTATATCAGGGATTATTCGGAAGACAAGAACAGTTATGGAATGCCTGCATCGCTTTTGCAGAGAATGCATTGACAAATCTATGCGTATGGGGTACTGTATTATGCACCTTTTTATTCATTGACTAGTGCAGTGATGCTATTACTTTTTCGTGTTATTAGACTTGATCTGGAACATTCAATGCAGGAATAATGAGTGTCCTGCTTGTCGAACACATTGTGCTAGTCGCCGATCTTTGCGAGATGATCCAAACTATGATGCCCTCATTTCAGCTTTATATCCAGATATAGATGAATATGAGGAGGAGGTATAGATTGATGATGCCTTCAGCTCCCACTGAAAATGATTATCGTAACTGGTGTTGCATGTCAAGAATTTGCCTTATACTTCATTGCAGGAACTGGCTTTCCATGAAGAAGACAAAGCTCGCAATAACCAGGTGAGATGTTTTCAAGTTTCAGTGGTGGCCTTCTGTTACCAGATATACGTGGTTGTGGTTATATGCAGTTTTCCATTTATCTTTGCTGGTTGCCAGAGTTGGCATCTGCAGTGCGTGATAGCAGTTAATTGAGGGATTCACTGAAAGGGCAAAACATGTGAATTATGAAGATTTTCTGGCCTTTCTTTGCTGAAACAGATGCAGGACCTTTTGTGGTAAAATCAACAGCTGTGGGGAATGAATGCGTTGGGCTTCTTTTCTTGTTTGTATTTGGGATATAGATTAAATTATAAGAGTTGGTATCTTTTGAAATGCTTTTAGAGATGATTGCAGGGACAGTAAATGTAGGTCATTCAACTGGTCGTAGCCCAATCTTTTGTTTACTCTTCCTGTATACATTAATATTTCAATTTTGTGTTGCTCCCACACTTATTTTTTTCATTCGTTGAACAGATCCAAGCTTCAATTGCACAGACTTTACGACGGCAAACAGAAGCACTGGGAAGGAAACGAACAGCTAGAGCCACAGCTTCTGCATTTGCGCGATCATCACAGGGCAATTATCGTAATTTGAGGGGAAGGAGAAACCGTCGAGCTGCTGAACACCAAGGATCTGATGATGAGGAGGATACTAATGGCCATGATGGAATCAAGGATTCGTCTTCTGCTGATGAGCGTGCAGAAGTCACACCAAAAAGATACAAAAGATGGGGAGGAGCTCGGTTTTCTCAGCCTTCTTCTGGAGCAGCCAGTGCAGATGGGGGTTGTGATGATAATGATGCTGAAATTAAAAGAGAACCAGTGGGTGTGTCCGCTGGTCTTGTTGGCAACTCGGAAATGCTTGCCTGGGGTAAAGGTGGCATGCGGAGTCACACCCGGCATGGCAGTCTGAGTGGTGGCAATGGCAAGCATGGTAGGAACAGCCGCCTCTCCAAGCTGATGGATAGTCTCCGAAATTCGGAGGAAAACAATGATGGGGTAATAATTAAAAGCATCTTTTGGTTGGTGAGCTCACGGACTCGTATTAATAACGAATTGATGATCTCATATTTATTAGCATATTTGGTTGCAAACTGGAATATTAAGAAGGTAATCCAAAATATCTCTTAATAAACACAACACTGCCAAACAAAATATATTTCCTTATGTGTGATATTGAGTCCGTGAGATCATATAATTCAGATTGTTTACTTCTTTGGCATCCTACCCGGAGTGTGCTTACATGCTTCTCATTACTTCAGTTGGATATCCACCTCATGCTTGTTTCTTTGGACGAACAAAGAATACCCAATTTGCAGCGGCCCCACCTTTGCTGCAGGCCCTCTTTTGCAGTTAGACACATATGCCAAGTGAAATCTACCTCCACCCTGACCCTTAATTTTCATTTGATGATACTACATGTTAAATGAGAAGCGTTTGTTGACACATAGCTGAAATTGGTCTTCAATTGTACGTCTCCGTGCAGTATGTTGCTGTCCAGACTTCCGTTGCAGCTGATGAAGTTGAAATGTTGTTGGTAAAAGAGTCCCACTCCAAACTCAACCCCTCAACCTGCTCGAGTTTTTTGATCTCCAAGCCCAGTATTATAGATCTGTGCAAAGATGAGTTGCATGCATTGAAAGAGCATGAAACATTGGTGGAACTTCAAACTATGTTCAATTTTAGTCAGCAGCATCTGGTAAGCTCTCTTTGAAATGTAACTTTTACATTCACACAGGAACACGCGCNGGTGGAACTTCAAACTATGTTCAATTTTAGTCAGCAGCATCTGGTAAGCTCTCTTTCAAATGTAACTTTTACATTCACACAGGAACACGCGCACACACACACACACACACACACACAAACGCATTTAGGTTGAAGTTTAAATAATTACCTAATCATGAATGCACATTCAATCACCCATATGATGTAGCTTGACATAATTATGTACTATTTCTGTTTTTTTTTTTAAATACCCGATCTGTGAATTTTTATTCATAATTATTTTGTTGCTTTTTTCAGCTTCTGGCATACAGGCAAAAGTTGTCGGGATTAGGAAACTCATGATGAATTGACGAAGAACAAGTGGTTACATCCTTTTCGTAGTGTATAAAAATATGGTTATAAAAGGAAATCAGCAATATCTATAAATTCTGATAGAACTCTATGTATACATGTTCCTTTTTAAATTTAGAGTTTCTAGGAAGTTGTAGGAGTAAACAAAAAAACAGTAAGATGGTTTTAGGATGTAGAAAAAGTTGCTTGCTTCGACCTTGATACTTGAGTTTATTTTCTCATTCAATCTTGTAGTATGCATCTTGCTTTAATTATTTTCATTAATGTCTTAATGGATATTTGTGCTCTTCTCATTACCCTTCGCTACACTCACTAAAGCCTTTCTCAAGACATTTGAGTCATTTTTTCGTTTTAGGAACATAAAGTTGTTGCCTTAGCTGAACAATGTATTAAGTATTCAGAGGAGGCTTAGATTGAATGTTCATGTTCATTTATGACCAAAAAACTTGCTGGATTTGAGATCTACATTGCAGGTGAAAAGAGTTGAATATCTCTCCACAAAGCTCATTTTCTGTCTGGGAGCTGGTGTGCATTTGTATGTGTGCATCCATGATCCACCCCAAAGGGGATTGGAAGCGATCTGATGGTCCCGTTGTCATGATGGTATTCTACAGCAGGCCGACCTCGAATCTCTGATACTGTAGGGAACAGCTCCCAAGAGGGCACTATGGGATGCATGTGTTTGATACATAACCGGAGTTTGTGGAACGCATGTGCAGCAGCTAAGATCAACTTCTTGAGAAACATATCGTTTCAAAGCCAGGTATCTCTTTTTTTTTCTTCTGTTTTTTCATTGGTAAGGCAGGCTATTGCATTGAGGCTGTGAGAAGTTGATGGAAAATTGTGGTTTGCGTTGACAATGTGAAAAATATAGCAGTGTTATTATAATAGGCCTAGTGCAATTGTAGGTGCTCATTCATTCGACCGATATGTTGTAAGTTAACGTTCAAGAATCAATCTCTCCTAGGTGGGATGAGACAATCACTTATCATTTACATATCTTAGATTCAATTATAGATGGGAGTCTTACACACGGTGCATATTGAAGATGTGGGAAAATTACTGCATGAAATAGTTCTCTAGTTTTTTTTTTTTGTTACAAGGTGTTCAGATTTATACCGGCTACTTTTTTAAACTCGGCGGNGTTTTTTTTTTTTGTTACAAAGTGTTCAGATTTATACCGGCTACTTTTTTAAACTCGGCGGTTGTTACTGTAGCTGGAGCTAGGTTAGAACATATCTTTGAGAAATAAGGGTGTTGACTCTAAAAGGGTGAGAGAAAGGATCGAATCTGAGCAAATGTTAGACTCAACCATTGAACCATTATAAGGATTCCTCTAATTTATATTTGTTAGGTTCCTAGTATTAAAGCAGTAGATCGGTTAGGACATTCGGCTTGATATTCCAGTTAAAAGGAAAGCAGCATAAACGAATCTATGTTCCTAGGAATTGATACCTCGGTTGGGACAACTAGTTATTCCCCTATGTAGAAGTAAAAAAGCATAGTAATATACTTGGGGCTAGGCATGTTACTCAAGTCTAGCTTTTGGATCTTTGATTTGCCCGGGTTTGGTTTGACCCGTTCTTATATTATATGCTTGAATTTGCTTTTAAACTCGAGTAGCTCTATAAANCAATGTATTAAGTATTCAGAGGAGGCTTAGATTGAATGTTCATGTTCATTTATGACCAAAAAACTTGCTGGATTTGAGATCTACATTGCAGGTGAAAAGAGTTGAATATCTCTCCACAAAGCTCATTTTCTGTCTGGGAGCTGGTGTGCATTTGTATGTGTGCATCCATGATCCACCCCAAAGGGGATTGGAAGCGATCTGATGGTCCCGTTGTCATGATGGTATTCTACAGCAGGCCGACCTCGAATCTCTGATACTGTAGGGAACAGCTCCCAAGAGGGCACTATGGGATGCATGTGTTTGATACATAACCGGAGTTTGTGGAACGCATGTGCAGCAGCTAAGATCAACTTCTTGAGAAACATATCGTTTCAAAGCCAGGTATCTCTTTTTTTTTCTTCTGTTTTTTCATTGGTAAGGCAGGCTATTGCATTGAGGCTGTGAGAAGTTGATGGAAAATTGTGGTTTGCGTTGACAATGTGAAAAATATAGCAGTGTTATTATAATAGGCCTAGTGCAATTGTAGGTGCTCATTCATTCGACCGATATGTTGTAAGTTAACGTTCAAGAATCAATCTCTCCTAGGTGGGATGAGACAATCACTTATCATTTACATATCTTAGATTCAATTATAGATGGGAGTCTTACACACGGTGCATATTGAAGATGTGGGAAAATTACTGCATGAAATAGTTCTCTAGTTTTTTTTTTTTGTTACAAGGTGTTCAGATTTATACCGGCTACTTTTTTAAACTCAGCAGTTGTTACTGTAGCTGGAGCTAGGTTAGAACATATCTTTGAGAAATAAGGGTGTTGACTCTAAAAGGGTGAGAAAAAGGATCGAATCTGAGCAAATGTTAGACTCAACCATTGAACCATTATAAGGATTCCTCTAATTTATATTTGTTAGGTTCCTAGTATTAAAGCAGTAGATCGGTTAGGACATTCGGCTTGATATTCCAGTTAAAAGGAAAGCAGCATAAACGAATCTATGTTCCTAGGAATTGATACCTCGGTTGGGACAACTAGTTATTCCCCTATGTAGAAGTAAAAAAGCATAGTAATATACTTGGGGCTAGGCATGTTACTCAAGTCGAGCTTTTGGATCTTTGATTTGCCCGGGTTTGGTTTGACTCGTTCTTATATTATATGCTTGAATTTGCTTTTAAATTCGAGTAGCTCTATAAAACACTTGAACGATGAATCTTGAATTGTGTTTTTTTTGGTTGTATTCTTTTATTCATGAATCGAGTATGAGTTGAGCATTATATTGCTCGAACTCAGATTATAATATTAAACGACTTTAATAATTTAACCATTTCTTTTTTAATACAAACTAACTTAAACGGGTTGAGCCCAAGTTCAAACTTGAATGGCTCGGTTTGATTAATAGTGCTACTTGTAATTTGGTTTAATCACCCAAACTATATCGGAAAGTATAGTCAGCTTTTTAAATTGGTGTTAATTATACTTTGTTCTTTCAGAGTATCAACTTACATTATTTTGCAATAATGTTAGACTTACTAAAATATAGAACGAAAAACAGGGATCAAATGACCCTTCAATTGTATTAATTTGTTTCATACTACTTCATGTCACATTTTTTTCTTCTAAAAAAGAAACAACCTTCGAGTTTAAAGCAATGTTGAACCAACTATAGTTCGAAGTGTAATGTGAATCTTAGCAATTCTTTGAGGTCTTGTTATGACAGATTTAGGGTTTGTTTGATATGTGTTTTAAAAAATAATATTTGAAAATAGTTTTTGATAAGAGTTTTAAAAAAATAGTTTTAATATTTTTTGAAATAAAAAATTTGTTTGGTTAGATAATTTCAAAAATAATTTTATAATACAGAAAATAGTAAAACTTGTTTAGACAGTCTAAATATATATATTTGAACAGGAATTCAAATATTAATAAAAAAATATAAAATTGTTCTTGTTTTCAAAATTTTTAAAGAAAATTCTGAAAACAAGCTACACTTATTTTTTGTTTCTTTAATTCAAATCTTATTTTTTTTTTTCAAAATTTTGAGAAAAAAAATATTAAATAAACATATTTTTGGTGTTTTAAAAATTTTAAAAACAAAAAACTGTTTTGCAGAAACTAATTAAACACGTCCTTATTCTTCATGAATATTCTAGTTTCAGCGTGGATGATTTGTTTTTGATTGGACTAGAAAGGGGATAAATTAAGGTATTCATGAGTTGGTCTGAATATCTGTGATCATTGAACTAAAAAAAGTGTAATGTGAAGAAAATTGTGGTAGGGCGTAAAGTAAAATTAAAATAAAAAATATAAGAAACTATAATTTTATAAAAAAAAATCTAAAAAAGGCCAACCTAGATAATTGGAGAGTATTAATCACAATAAAAAATTCACATGTGGCGCCATACACAACTTCCTAATAATTAATGCACTAAGATAACCATGAACTTGCCAAATGACAAAAATACCTATAATATACCAACAAAATTACATTCACATTCCACTTATTTAACAGCAATATAATAACACAGCTCATCACTACCGTTCACTTCAGATCAAGCGACACACATCAACCCTCACAGGGTTCAACATTTTATAAGTTACAACTCGCAAGCTTCACTCACTTAACCTCACACCAGTTATTACGAAAATATGGACTCCAATTATATTCAATATATATTTTCTTCAAATTTTTTTTTTTTGGTGGATCATCCAGCATTGATGACTGAGGGGTCCATTCTTATAAAATGGGTCTCACTTACATGCACGGTTGTTGATCTGCCAAAAAAAATTTGAAGAGAAAATATTGGAGGGATCTCAATCTAGAAAATATTTACACTATTACATTACCAGGACACGTGGTGGGTATTTAAAAGAGAAGACACTATTAACATGTAACCATTGGTAACCGAACACTTCAGCGATGCTTGCTCCTAGTCTCCCCACTGTAGAGCCTGTGATAACATAAAACACAACCCATGGTAAGAACCATGATATCGAACAAGAACAGGACAGCTCCCAGCATTCCGATCAAGGATCTTGGTCAAAAGATCTCATTTATCAACAAGATCAAGAGATCCAATGGCCGAAATCCAAAGATTCGGGTTTTTGTGTGTGTGCGCGCATAGTACTGATCTTTTGTCTTGATTGAGATACTGCCGTTCACTTCTTCTCAATTTCGCTCAAAACCACCATAAATTCGAGTGAAACCCTTCTTATATCAATAAGTCACTCATCAATATATGATGAGTTATCTAAGAGGAGGGTTTTTTTAAAAAGAAAATTGTTCTAATCATATGTATTTCGGATTCATGATTGCATCACAAAATTTTGGAGGTACACAATCATTTATTATTCATGTGCATCGATTAAACTATGATTTTGAATGAAGACTAGAATTCAAGATGGACGGTTTGACCAGTCAACAATTAACGTAGTTTTTTAAACTGCAAGGGTAACTCAATAGTGTAAACTTCACTCTGACACGCGTCGCGTACCCTGACGTTTTGAGTTTACCTCTCACTGATATTTCCTTAATTTAATGCAGTTATAGTTTGTGAATAATTATGCATATTCGAGATTTACCGTCGGTGAGTTTCGAATGGTCGGGTAGAACGTTTACGTACCAGTCATAAACAGTGGGAGAGTTGGGTTTTGGCTTGTCAAAGACATCAGCACCAAGTCCCCTGGTGGCAAGGTTCCTACCGGGGTTGAAAACACTCCTCCAAACGTTGTCTTTACGCGCGGCTGTTGGCGACGGTGTAGTCGGTGTCCCGGGGCTCACCGGCATCGACAAGGATCTCTGGTACTGGCGTGTTCCTTCTCCTTCATCATATATACCACCACATATAAGCAATGAAATTGTATATGGTTAACCATATACTTAATTTTCCTGGATGTCAAAAACTACAAAATTGATATAAAATGATAGTCCGACATTCCCATCACCACAAAATGTAAGAAAGACAAATATTTATGCAGTCTCGAGATAAGAGACTTATCTTAGTGATTTAAATCCATAACATACAAATTAAAAACCTTATCGTTGTTTCAAAACTCAAACCCCGAATAACAACAGTTATA